ATCACCCCAGTGTCATTAACTGAAGTAGCTAAAGCCTGTCTGAAATGTAACTACACGTTACATTGCGCCAGTTTGAGTTCTAGTCAAGTCTGACGCAGTTAGCCATTTCCGGTCCAAATGCCTCTTCAGATCATATTTAGATAAATACTTGCACTGGCAGTTAAATGGGTGTAAATTCCTTCAACTACGATCGAGTGATTAGTTACAGGTGTTAACATACCATCTAGGTAACAATGAGAAACAGGTTTACTAGCAGGTTTACTAGTTTAACAATAAACGAAATCCCAAAAACCAAAACCAAAGTGGTTTATGGGACTATTTTTGTCTTTCTTAAGACACACACGTGTACAAACAGACAAAAGCCTGTGTGGTGCTGTGAGATTAGATCCTCCTGTACCAACACATGCAGAGCCAAAGATGGCAAAAATGAAAATGAGGTCCAGCCAGGTAAAGTTAGCACAACACAGGCCTGTGACAACTCTGCGCAGCTATTTTAGGTATTTGAGATGAGATGCGATCTTTGAAGAGTTGGTGAAGAGTTCAGTGGAAATCAAAGTGGTTTTGCCTGAAGTCCTACATTCCTATTGACTATAGCTAATAACAACAATGGCAATGTCTGTTGCAAGTTTTATGGTTTTGGTTAAATGGTTTCAATAAAAATACACTCTGAAGGTCAGTGACATACAGCCCTATAAATGCTGATGAGCAGATTAGCCAATGTATACCTGTCAGAGATAACACTATCCACACACTCAAGTCAGTGACTAATATGATGTTGTGTGGTTAGAGTAATTTGTTGCAGAAAAGTAGCGTTACTGGGGAGAGTCACTGATCAATCAGTGACTCTAGTTGTATGGTTTGAGCTGATCTGCCATGACAGGAGACGGCCAATTAGCATCTAAATCAGATTCTCATTAGACTGAGCTACGGCTGACATGTGCCTCTCAGAAACAAGTGTGGTTGTTAGAAAGTGTAAATACCTGAATTCAATTCCATTTTATTTATAAAGCGCCAAATCACAACAACAGTCGCCTCAAGGCGCTTAATATTGTGCAGTAGATTGTACAATAATAGATACAGAGAAAAACCCAACAATCATATGACCCCCTATGAGCACTTTGGCGACAGTAGGAAGGAAAAACTCCCTTTTAACAGGAAGAAACCTCCAACAGAACCAGGCTCAGGGAGGGGCGGGGCCATCTGCTGCGACCGGTTGGGGTGAGAGAAGGAAGACAGGATAAAGACATGCTGTGGA